GATTTAAACATTTACATGTTAAATAAAACAATTTGCTGTTCTTTTCGATGATATTTTTTGACAAAATAAAAATGTTTTTAAAAATGCGAAGTTCGTGTTTTCAACTAAAGGGGGCGCAGTYACATCACAAATGCAGAATAACAATAACTTTTGTTTGGTTTTCTTCTCAATTGGAGTTAGTATGATACTGAACAACCTTCTTTTTGATTGTGTTTTTAAAAATACTGGCATGTTATTTTGTTAGCAGTGTAAAAACGTTTCACAAGTCAAAAGTCGGATCACATGGAAATAAGCTTTATTGTGTTATCCATTTATGTTAATTTTATTGTGTGTTATATGCAGTGCCATTTACAAGATAAATAAAAAATGAAAAAAAAACACATTTACTGCAGAAACAATGATTGCAAAGAAAAGTCCTTTGATAAACAATTAGTAATGTAATCTCATAAACACCTTAAAGCATAATCATATATATTTTTTATTAGTTTGTTATGCTATTGTTGCATTTTACTTCATAMGACAAAATAAGTACAATCATTCAATTCAGTTTATTTATATAAGGTCAGTTAAAACCAAAATGAATTGATTCCAGTTTTTTTCCAGGCTGTCCAGTTGCAATCTAATGCAATCCAGGTAGATCAAAAGCCAGTTACACACAGTTCTCTTCTATCCAATTCAGTTAGTTTAGTTAGATTAGTTCCAATTGAATTGAATTACAATTTAATCCAGGATATTCAGATTCCGAACCAGTTTAACCTATATTGTTCCATTTAATCCTATTTATTCCACTGGAATCCATTCACAGCCCAGTCCAATCAAGCAGAGTCCAGTTCAGTTCYATTCATTCTGCTTAACCTGACCAGTTCCAATTCAATTCAACAAACTTACTACTTATTGGCATGCAGTTTAATTTAAGAAAATTACAAAACATAGAGTTTTTGATTGAAAACAAAACAAATCAAGCTTTGAATCTTTCTTGAGAAGCTGCTGATCTTTCATACTTTCATCAAGAACGAATTAACTGCCTAAAACTGAATCAGCAATGTCTTGCTTTTGTATAAAACCCGCTGTTTGTATTTTCTTACAGTAAAAATCTACGTCAGAGTCGCCCTCTCTCCCTCTCTGCTGAATGAGTGTTATTGAAGTGTGCACTGCTCCCCGGGCCGCCTGTGTTCAGACAGCCAGCTCTGAGCCGGTGTCTTCCTCTGTGTGTCACTCTGTATAATATCTGGGTTAGCTGGAGCTCAGCACCCAGGGGAGGCACTTCCTCTCTCTCATCCCTGACACGTCTCCCTGCCAAACGAACCCAAGGAGAGTGGGGGTGGGCAGGGGGTGTCAGGGCCTGCGGCATTTCAGCCTCCTGGCCTCTTTCATCCTCCCCTTTTTGTTTTGCTTTTGTTCCAGTCACACAGACACGTGCACGGTTATGACCAGCCATTCAGTCTGGCACCAGCTGACATCTCAGTGGGGCCAGAGGCTGCACGAAGGAGGCGGGGGCACTTATCCTCCTCCTCATCCCGTACATCTGCTCTCCTCGTGTGTCTTGCAGTGCATYCTCTCTCTCTCTCTCTCTCTSTSTSTSTGTGTCTCTGTTGGCAGATGTGGCRGTTGGATCAGGCGTTGACAAATTCCTCTGCTGTCGTCGGCAGGAGCCAAGCCGGAGCAGCTCAGGCACCTGTTGCAGCAGGAAGCAATGAGAGCAAGTGTGGGCCGAGGGGAGCCACACAGGCAGCCACACCGGCTGGCCTCTCAGAGTGGGAGACCCACAGCTGGAGGATGGCTCTCACCTGATGCCACCTTGTCAGAGTTTGTCTCATTTATGATAGAATGGCTCTGAGTTTGAATGTTTTTAACATATTTGTTGTATTTTATGGCATCTGTACTCTGGTCCAACAAACAGTTAAATATGGACCAGTTTTTGGTGATGCTAAATTATCCCTATGACCTGGAAAGAAGAAGCATGATGGATGTATGGATGGACAGAAAGCTGGATGGATGGATGGATGATGGATGAATGGACAGAAAGCTGGATGGATGGATGGATGATGGATGAATGGACAGAAAGCTGGATGGATGGATGGATGATGGATGAATGGACAGAAAGGTGGATGGACGGATGGATGATGGATGAATGGACAGAAAGGTGGATGGATGGATGGATGGATGGATGGATGGATGGATGAATGGATGGACAGAAAGTTGGATGGATGGATGGATGGATGGATAGACGGATGGATGGATGGATGGACAGAAAAATGGATGGATGGACAGAAAGGTGGATGGATGGATGAATGGATGGACAGAAAGTTGGATGGATGGATGGACAGAAAGGTGGATGGATGGATGAATGGATGGACAGAAAGTTGGATGGATGGATGGACAGAAAGGTGGATGGATGGACAGAAAGTTGGATGGATGATGATGGATGGATGGACAGAAAAGTGGATGGATGGATGACAGATGGACGGACAGAAAGGTGGACGGATGGATAGAAAAATGGATGGAGAGACGGATGGATGGAGGATAGATGGACAGAAAAATGGATGGATGGATGATGGATGGATAGACGGATGGATGGATAGATGGACAGAAAAATGGATGGATGGATGCTGGATGGATGGACAGAAAATGGATGGATGGATGGATGATGGATGGACAGAAAAATGGATGGATGGATGGACAGAAAAATGGATGGATGGATGATGGATGGATAGACGGATGGATGGATAGATGGACAGAAAAATGGATGGATGCTGGATGGATGGACAGAAAATGGATGGATGGATGGATGGATGGATGATGGATGGACAGAAAAATGGATGGATGGATGGACAGAAAAATGGATGGATGGATGATGGATGGATGCACAGAAAATGGATGATGGATAGACGGATGGATGATGGATGGACAGAAAGGTGGATGGATGGATGGATGGACAGAAAAATGGATGTATGGATGATGGATGGACAGAAAAATGGATGGATGGATGATGGATGGACAGAAAAATGGATGGATGGATGATGGATGGATAGAAAGCAAGGTGGATGGATGGATGGATAACTGCCCCTAATATGACCCTGACTGTCACATTTTACCATTTGGTCCATGGATCAATAAATATATCTGAATTAACTGTTTAATTTTTTTTTTACAAACAAAGAACACAATAAAACAAAACTACAATGCAAAAAAAGCTAAATATGCTTTAAAAAAGCAGATTTAAGTACATATTTCATGTCAAATACATATTTCCCCCCTTGTTCCCCTAATTTCTTATGAGCTCTGATGAAAAACAGTGATGTGAGCAGCAGCCATTAAATTCTTGCAGGGGAGGGATTCCCATGGCCTTACTGCCACCCAATTCCTGCTGATGAACAGTTCAATACTCAAAGAAAAATAAAATAAAATCACAACAAAAGCTCAGATTTTTCTTCAGACTTGTGTATCATCCACAGATTTGGCACTTTGCTTTGTTTGCTGTTCATGTGAACTGCAACAAATTTGCATTTTTTTTWATTTATTTTTTGTTTTGATCCCCACCACAAGTAGTTAATTTTTAAGCAACACAATCTGATGTAAGTCTGGGCATGGCTGCGGCAGATTTTTTTCCCAACCCCCCTCCCTCTCCCCTCCCTCACTGGATCCCTCCCCAGCACTCACAACACTGCTGCTGCTGCTCCAAGATATATTTTTCACCCCCACACCCCCCTCCTTTCTTTTATCCAGAGGTGGGGGCTCCGGAGAATCTAAGGTGGCCATATTTGATATATTTGTGTCGGGCTCTGCAATGCAGACAGTGTGATCTTGGCTCTGACAGTGACACCAAAGGCAGCCCAGTCTGTCGTGACT